CACTTCCGTCAAAGTAAGGGCAGATTTGTTAGGATAGTTGGACGGTAGGGACTTTTATGGCCCAATAGTATAATGGGGAACAATTTTAAACAATTTACCATAGTACAAGGATATATCAGACCCTTTTCCGTATATATAATTATAGTCGTATTCATATATGTGTGTGTGTGTGTGTGTATATATATATATATATATATATATATATATATATATATATATATATATATATATATATATATATATATATATATATATATATNTGTGTGTGTGTGTGTGTGTGTGTGTGTGTATATATATATATATATATATATATATATATATATATATAACAATGTATTCAATTGTATATGAGTGTATTTTTTTATGCATTTATACTGATCATATGTATAATGATAAACTATTTGCAACTATACATTATTATGTATGTCAGAGGATTGTGAATGGAGATTTAAGGCTTCTAGCATTAACAAATCACAAATGTTCAAAGTGAGAGAGTTTGTTGATAAGCATACATGTCTGTTGAAGGATAAAGTGTATGAGCAACGTTAAACACGTAGTAGTCTTATCGGTGGTATGATTAGGTCCAAGCTTACTAATCATAAGAGAAAATACACCCCAACAGATATAATTGATGACGCGAAATCAGATTTTGGTATTGATGTTAGTTACATGTTGGCGTGGCGGGCTAAAGAAAAGGCAATGAATTTCTTGAGAGGTGAGCCGGCTGATATGGATATGACATATCCTGGTTCGAACATTAGAATGGTAAAATCCCCAAAAATAAATTCATGTATATGTATATATCTTTGTATGCCTTTATAAAGGGGTTCGATCATTGTAGACCCATTGTGGTTGTGGATGGCAGCCACCTAAAATCGGCATACACTGGGACATTCGTCTCGGCCAGCACATTGGATGGTGCAGGTGAGTATGGGTAGTATAATAAAATTTGTTAATTCTACTGCCTATTCAATTTTGAAATACATATTTTTAATATGTATGCAATTATATTTACAAGTCATATACTGCCACTAGCATATGGTGTTATTGATCCAGAGAACGATGCTGCTTGGTCGTGGTTCTTTGAGCAATTCAAGGAAGCATATGGCGAGAGGGAAAACACGTGCATCGTTTCAGATAGGAAGAGAGCATCATCAAATCTGTATAGAGAATGTATCCAACGATACCATATTTTGCTTGTATATGGCATCTATGGAACAACGTATATAAGAAATTCAACCATTCAAAGTTGAGCGAGATATACTTCTCAATGGCAAAAGCATACACAGAGGCTGAATTTGATATTCTAATGGATAAGGTGGAGAAGGTAGATATAAGGGTGAAAGAATACTTGAAATTAGTTGGATACGAAAAGTGGGCAAGGTTGTATGCACTTGTTAACAGGGGATGGACCATGACGTCAAATATAGCTGAGTCAATCAATGCCGCACTTGTGTCAGCAAGAGAATTGCCAAAATACGACTTCCTCGAAGAAGTTAGGAAGATGTTTGGACGTTGGAATTGCAGTAATCGGAAAGAAGCTTCACACACGTACACAACGCTGGGAAAAAAATACCAGAAAATGCTTTCTTCGAATGAGGCAATGTCTACACGTATGACTGTAAGTATTTTTCTAAGTCATTGTATCATGTATTTAGCCCTGGTACAAGATATATTTATTTCTGATTCTAAGGATGCATTCAGAATCAAGTAATCAAATGCATTCATAATTGCCAATAGCCATGTTTTCTGTTTTATGAAATGTTTAAAAAACTGATCATTATATGTATACATTACTTGTTTATACATTTGCATTTCATTGGTTGCATTCAATGGCTTTGTTTATAATGAGATGCACCTCCTAAGCAAATATACCGTATGTTACTGTATATCACTGTTTTGATTAGTTAAAATGTCATCAACTTTAATATTCTGCCAGCATAAATGTAGACTGTATTACCCGATATTGGATATATTTTATTGTATATCACTGTATATCTTTGTATTTTATATATACATATTTTTTTTGAATTCAATATATATGATAATTCTGTATATTTTATATGTTCTTTTATTGTATATATCTATACTTTATTTAATACGTATCTTCTTTGGGACATATATGACTTTTAAAAAATGTTCAAAACTTATAGGTCTATGTTTAAATGTAGGTTGTACCATCAACCGAATACTTCCATACGGTGAACGATGAAGGAAGGCATTACACCATTTGCCTCTTAGAGAGAAAGTGCAGTTGTGGGCGGTTCCAAGTTGACGAATTACCATGCCCACACGCTTGGGCTGTCTTGAAGAGCAAGTTTCTAATGCTAGAAGATTATTGCTCGGACTATTACACCAAAGTCTGTGGTAATGACATACGAGGTGCCCATGTATCCGCTGCCTGACCAGAATGAATGGAAGGTACCAGCACATATATCAGAGGAAGTTGTCTTACCCCCTAAATAGAAAAGACCTCTTGGAAGGCCAAAGAAGAAGCGCGATAAGCCGTTAAGTGAATTATTGCAGAAGAAAAATCAACGTGTAGCATATGTGGGCAGGAAGGACATAATAAGCGTACTTGTAGAAATGCTCCACGTAGGACTTAGTTCATGTTCTGACTTGTATTATTGGTGACATAATAACCGACGATATTTTGGAATAATAGATATTGAATTGTTGGTTTATTGGATTTTTGCGTGATAATTTCTTTTTAGAAATATAATTTATAAACTGCTAAACACATACTGCATTTATATGTTGAATAAATATGTAAACACAAAGGTTCTGTTGAACAATCTGCTGAATAGATGTGAATATAAATTGCAATACACATGCAAAACAATCATAATACATTAGAATACCGATGAAAACAAAATGCATTATGCATACAGTAAAATCTCATGAATATATTAATCTACTGAATATATTTGAACAATGTGTGAATATAAAATGCAGTACACATACAGTATTATCTCTTGAATTTATCTCAAAACATGATGAATATACAATCTGCTAAATAATCTGAATACATATATACATATGAATATAATCTGCTAAATATATCTGAATAATGTATGTGTATACAAAGAATGCAGAGCAATCTCCTTAATGTATTAATCTCCTGAATATATTTGAATACATGTATCAATCTCCTGAATATACAAAATGCAGAGCAATCTCCAAGTATTCTTTCACCCTAATATTTTTTAAAAATACAGTAGACATACAGTACCAATACATGATGCATATAAAACCTGCTATATATATATATATATATATATATATATATATATATATATATATATATATATATACACACACACACGCACACACACATCAGCTGAGTACACATGACTACATCCTGTTGAATAGTAACTACTGCACAAAATANATATCAGGACCCCTGTGCGGACCGCACAAAACGAACTGCGGCCGCACAGCCCTACCTGACCCTGTGCGGACCGCACAAAGACGACTGCGGCCGCACAGCCCTCTACCGCGCCCGCTTAAAGTCGACCGCGGCCGCAATGACTCCCTCCTCCGCGGTCGCACACTATTTTTCGCGGACCGCGCTAGCGGGTTCAGAGAGCTGAAATTGCTCTGAACCTGCAATATCTGAGTTTTTAAGCCTAAGACTTCCCGGAACCTACCCGAAACTCACCCAAGCCCTCAGAACTCCAAACCAGATGTGCATACTAACTTAAAAACATCATACGAACTTATCCGTGCGATCAAATCGCCAAAATAACCTCAATAACCATGAATCAAACCTCAAAATCAAGAACTTTTTCCTCAAACTTCATCATGTATCAAATTTAGCAATTTAGGTCCAGATCACGTCAAACAACGTCCATTTTTCACAGAAACATCTTAAATCATATATAAGACCTGTACCGGGCGCCGGAACCAAAATACGGGCCCGATACTAACATGTTCTAATTAAATTTCATTTCAAATTTCCTTAAACAATTTCAGAAAATAATTTATTTCAAAAATTCATTTCTCGGGCTTGGGACCTCGGAATTCGATTCCGGGCATATGCCCAAGTCCCATATTTTTCTACGGACCCCCCGGGACCATCAAATCACGGGTCCGGGTCCGCTTACCCAAAACGTTGACCAAGGTCAAATTAATTCATTTTTATAGTCAAAACTTATCATTTTTCACACAGTTTCTCATTTAAGCTTTCCGGCTACGCGCCCGGACTATGCACGCAAATCGAGGTAACTCTAAATGAGGTTTCAAGGCCTCAGAGTCATGAAATTTAATTTAAAACAGGTGATATCACACTTATGTAACGCGATCCGAATTAATCAGGATCCCATGCTGGACACAGAGGGAAAAGAAAGGTAGAATCGCATTTGGCTCATTATTGACACATCCTTGCCAGCTTGATTGCTTTGTTTTTCTCATCGAAAATGTTCATGACAAGATTGTTTTGGAATTCTCCAATTTACTGTCGGTGGTTCAACAACACTACCTGCTAGCTTTGTATCTTCCCACCCAAAAAAAAATTTAGATTTAAGTTATTCGTAATTTCAATCAGCCAGTATACCGTAATACAGATGCATTAAAAGGGCAAAGACATCGCTTTTAGCCCGCCGCCGAAACTATTTACATTTTATAGCAGTAACAATATATAGAGAATTTATAGTATATGTTTGTATATACCATACCTAAATATATATAACAATGTGTGTATATATATATATATATATATATATATATATATATACACACACACACGCACACACACATCAGCTGAGTACACATGACTACATCCTGTTGAATAGTAACTACTGCACAAAATATTGAAACAACATGAATATTTGAAATTATAAACTGCTGAGGAAACACTGTGGATACAGTGCATACAGTGAAACACATGAGTTTTTTCTTAAAAGAACACCATCTTTACCAAAAAGATATTCAAAGTGTATCTACATAAAACTATCTTCCAATACTATCTTCCAATTCTAAAACTATCTTCACCGAAAACTATTCTAAAACCATCTTCACAGAAGTGTCCGAATCAGTGAATTGCCTAACAATCTTTGAGGGTGCTTCATTCTCGCTAATGACATCAGCATCTATCTTCCGCATAGCATAGTCCCAAAGGAGGGCACCATATCTTTGATGGAGTAAATTGGTATCAAATGTTATTTGTGGAACCAAACCAAAAGTGCTCAGCTACTCTGCGTATGCCGCGACATGCAACCCACAATCCCTGAAAATATGGACTGACACAAATAAAAATAATTCATATTATTAATTATATAAATGATACAAGCAAAAGGATTGGTTACATACATGCTCCCATAATTTTGTTGAGGCAGATTCGAAATGAAAACAACATCAAAGGGATCGGTTTATGCCTTGTCATTTTATGTCATGAGACCAATCTATGCCTTGCTTATCTCTGTAAAAATCACTAATTGATAGATACAGAGGTACAAGCTTATCTATCTCAGAACCCACATAGGCTTCATGACTTGCTGATCTGTAAGAGTCATATACTTTGATACATCTCTCCTTGAATGAGACAACTGCCAATATCTAATGAAGTTTGTCCTTCAAGTTGACTGGTATCAAGACATTGTCAACAGTATGCCATGGTATATTATCAAGCAATCTGTAGCCCCTAATGTACTCACATACCACATCCTCTTTTTTGGCTACACTTGCATTACTATCTGTATCAGCATACCTGTCGAAGATTTCAGCAATTCTTGTCTTGAATATACAATCAACAGTTGTAAATTTGAAGGTGGTGGTTTGGTTGTACTTGCCCTTCTTTCTCAGTTAGTAAAATATGACATCAATGTGCTATATATTTAATTGAATACATAGCGTCAGTTTATTGAATGAAATCAATGAAAACAAACTGCATTGAAGAAACTTTATATATACAGGTATTGTATGTTGAAGAAAATCATTATAGAAGGCAGTACTGCTTGAAAGCAATGGAATGTAATGTATACAGTTAGATACATATTGTTGAATACATCTGAGTATTAAATACTGCATACAGTTAAATACATACTAATAACTATGATTTTGCTATGTATCAGTCATTCATTAAAAAAATAATAAAGAATACATACATGTTTTAACAAATTGCTAGACAAAATAGAGAAACAACTAGCAATCTGAATACATTTAGATACATTGAAAATAGAGAACTCATTGAACTAAAACAACAGCAACAGATAATACTGTCCCAGAAACAGTGAATACAGTATTTAACTGTATTTCTGTTAATATGTGATACATCTCTTTGTATCCCAAGAACATTGAATACAATATTTAACTGTATTCCTGTTAACACAGAATACATCTCTCTATATATTAACTGTACAATATAAATATGAAAAATTCATGATTTGTATGTCACTAACAAAATTGTGAAATATACAATTAGACAAACCAAACAGGGAAATATGAATTAAAATGAATTCAGAAAGATTATATCTTACATTGTCATTCCATAGTTTACCGTCAAATGAGAGAAGGTAAAACAAATTTCTTGAAGTGATTTGACAACTCCAAAATCCAACGGTATAGGCAGTGTTGACTTATTTTTCTTGTAATGGTCTTCCATATCATTTCTACAAGGAACTGGAAAAAATATTATATCCAATTTCTAATTGATAAAATCATATTATACATATCGGAAAAAAAACTTACTTTTGATCATGTTTAGCAAGAAGACCATCACGAACCCATTTCTCATATTCCTGAATGACTAGTGTAGGATGTGGCCCCGATATTAAATCATCTTAAAAGGGGTGTTTTTGTCAAATATGGGAGTCAACTTTACCGAGGTGCCTAGTTCATTAAAATCATTAATAGAGATAACTAATTATGTACGTGATGGGAAAATAGATCATAACTTTATAATACATATTTTTGTGTATAATAATTTACTAACCGGCGGAGTCGAAGTTTGTCTCGTAAGGCAAACCATACCATTGACTTGGATGCCGATTCCTATGAGAGGGTAATGGAGTTGAATCCACCTTTTTTGGTGCATGATGTATCACAATTCTAGTTTCTGGAATTTGACTTGGAAGAAACTCATCCGCCAACTCAAACCGTGATACATGTACTTCACTGGATACACCCTCGTCAGATTTATTGGTATGATACACGGCACCTCAGATGTAGTATTCCCCTCCATTATTACTTCCCCACAAACAGGATTAACCTATGTAGATGTATTTAACATGTCTGCGGTTGAAGTAGCATGTGGGTGTTGATCGGAATGAATGTCGACGTTCAGCTTTCTTTGCATGGCCTAATAACATAACCAATAGAATATATTAATATAGCAGATTTTTTCAGGAGTGTATTCTGTTAATGTATGCATATGTATATGTGTGTATTCTAAACCATGTATGTTTAT